GGCAGCGGGGCAAGGGGCAAGGGGCAGGGGGCGGCGCAGCCTGGTCCCAGGAGCTGAGCGGATCTGTAACCTCTGCGCTCCGGAAGCCCTGAGCGTGGCTTGTTCCCAGCGTAAATGGTCACTGGAGTTTCTTATAAAAAGAAAAAGGAAAAGTGACTGATCCAGATGCCAGGAAGGTTTGTGGTTGGCCCTGTGCCAGCGCCAAGCCCAAATCCTGAGGGACAGAGGCACTCGTGAGTGTGTGACTCGAGGTCCTCTGCGATAGGGGCGCAGCACTGCCCAGGCTGTAAAAGGGGTGAAGACTGTCCTAGGAACAGGAGCGCCCGGGACAGGGTTCCTAAACCCGCCTTCGACAGTCTCCAGGGGAAACTGTTCATTCCCGAGTCTACCCAGACTCGCGGAACCAAATACTCAGACCACTGGTCTGTGCCTTCAGCGAGCTTCCTAGGTGAGCCACGGCAAGTAGCCAAGGCGGATGGGGCCCGTGGAGCAGCCCTAATGGGGACTGAAGGGTAAAGAGAGGCTGGAGACCCAAGCCGGGGGCGAGGCACCTGGGCGTGGCCTGTGGAGACAAAGCGCGGAAGAGCCAAGCGGGGCCTCGGCAGGGTCCCGCCCACTGCGCGCTGGACCTGTCGGGTCGCGGGGCCTGCAGCCTCGGACTCGGCTCCCGAACCGCCCCTGCTCCGCCTTGGGCGCCTGCTTGATCCGGGCAGTAGGTCGGGCTGGCTCTTGAGCTTTGCGACCGCCGCAGTTCCTGCCCCGCAGTCCGGCCCACGCTGCGTCCACAACTAGCGACCAGTCTTGGCCGGCGCCCCTTGACTTTTCCCGCTGGGGCCGCTTTGCGCCAGCCCAGCTCCCGGTCTTATGTGTCGATCGCGCGCCCGGTGCTCACGGTAGGGTGTAGTGGCAATAAAGTCAACATTAAGTTCACAAGATGCAAAGATATGGTGGAATGTTGCCAGAAATAAAGGAAAAGACATGACACGGAAATACTAGATGTGAAATGAGGCAATAAAGGAAAACACATTGGAATACCTTCCTTAGGGGAGGAACAGGTGTGTAATCATTGCGTTATGTCGGGAAGGGCTCAGAGGAAGTTTGGAAAGGCTTTATGGGCATGTGCTTTACGTGGGTATCAGGTGGACAGGGGGTGGGCTGGAATGGACATCTCTGGTTTTAGCTTCTTCCACATCCATCCCCTCCCTTTTTCTTTTTGTAAAAGTGCCTCAGTTTTGGGTTTTGGTGCTTCCTAGGATCCGGTGCCACGCAGTAACAGTGGCGCTGGCATTCTGGGTGCACCCCCTCCCTGTGCCACCTGGTCAACTTGTGACTAAGGCTACCGCAATGCCACCCTCTTCTCCGGTCTTGCCCTGAAGGCAATGTGAAATCAGGTGATGTCCTGAGCCTCTTTTTTTTTTTTTCCTTAGACT